TTTTTAACAATTGAGCCAAATCGAAAATACTTAGTCAGAAATGGAAAATTTACAAAAATAATTATTTTATTATTTTAAATTTTGTTTTTTTGTTTTTATGTAATGAGTTAAAAATGTCCGTAGTGACTTGAAATTTTGACAGAAAACTGAAATTTGCATTTTTTAGACTTGAAAAAATACTCAAAACATTTAAGTCATTGATGAGGTATTTAGAGAAATTTTAATTTTACGATTTTTTTACGTAATTTTTATTTTGTATGTATACTCTGTGTATAAAATTGTTAGGTTTGAACTATTTAAAAATCTAACAAGAGGTATATTATATGACTTTTTTAGTGGTAAAAATAATTAAGTGGTTATGCAGTATATCATTTTTTTTTATACGTTTTAAATTCAAATTGACGTAAATTTTTACGGCATTTTAAGACATGTATAACCGAAGTTCACTCCGAATCGTTTTTCGTTAGCAATGACTTATCGTTGGTTACGTGTATAAATTAAATAATTTTATGTATACCATCTTCCTAACGCCCTACCTACAACAATGGACTCCAGATCTTTTTTTTTTTGTTTGTGCATACGAACACTTGTGGTTTTTAAATAAATTTTCTTAAATAATTTTTGTTATCATATGTGTACTATTGTATTAATTTTTAAATGTTGAACCATTTTTTTTTCTCTTGAAAACGTGTAAGAATTATAAACTTAAAATGCCCTTGATATATTTCGACCTTGTTTGGCCACCCTACTGGTAAACACTATATACTTGCTTGTTTATCATTAAATACAGTTTTCTTACGTTACAACAGCTTTATTAATTCCCTTCGGTGTCTAAACACTGCTGGCGCCAAGATAAAACTACTATTTTACAGCCAACCTTTAGAACATAACTATAAATTCTAATAACATCGACACAATTTGTTTCGTTATATTCCGACTAAAATCATATCAATAATATTTCAATAAATTAAAAACTAATTTTGTCTGAAGCTCGATTACGTATAACAATCTGTATAGTTAAGTGTGTGTTTAATCGCATCCCAAATTTCACAGCCATATGAGAGATATTTATTTTACGTTACTTATGAAAAATCGCTTTAAGTTCAGCAGTTATATTAGGAATTCTTGTTGGAATCGAGTAAAATAGTTTAAACAAAAAAATCTAGATATTTTTCTCAACTTCTTACCATGGATATCATTGATTTATGTAATTTTATCACCATATATTTATATCAGAAATCAATATTAATAATAATAATAATAATTAAAAAATAGTAATTCAACTATTTTGTTATGATTTTTTTAGAAAAAATATTTGGGAATATGAAAAAAATGTTTTAAATATCATTTGGGACGGATAACTCACATGTTTTAGTATCATACGTACAGTTTAATGTTAATTAATATAATAGATGTTTTGCAAGAGCCAAAACAAATTCTTAATATAACTAAAGGTTTTTCGAAAAAATTAAATATATTTGGTACTACATTTCTAAATAGCAATCAAAGGTGTCTGAGTCAATTTATCGATACCTAAATGGTCCCATATGACCAAATACCGAACCTATTATTAAATATTAAAAAAAGAATTATTGTTGTGATGATAATGTATATTATATAATATAGGACATTTCATTTGATAAAATGGAATAAAATCTTAACGTGATCTAATAAATTATATACAGATGTTATGATTAATAAGATATTTTTCAATTATTTTTCTTTCGTAATTTGTAAATGTGTTAGTAATCGCTCTTCGCGTTTTTGTTTTACCGTAATAAGATATGTACAATGAATACAGTATATCTTTATAAAAAAAATGTTGTGTTGCAGGTTTGTGTTGAATATATTGAGTCTATAAAATAGTACTAAAAAAATACTAAATGAGTTTTGTTGATCGATTATTTTCCTTGTCGGTATTTTGGTTACCTTTCAATTGTCTCCCCAATCAAAGTTTAATAGTAAAACCATAATGTATACCGTATTAATGAAACGGAGTTTCTTATATGTCTATATACATATTTTATGGGCAAACTAGGAAGTTGGGCAATGTACCACAATGCCTAGGCACGGTGCACAATATCCTAATTTTCGAGAAAAGAGGAGGAAAAGTTTATATGGTCTAGTAATTGTATACAGTGCCCAAATCTAGTTAGAAAAAGTATATTAAATAGTGATATTATTGAAAATTTAATAAAAATTTTTATTGGGTACTTTAATAAACATAGACAATTTGTAAATAGAAGCCAAGTTATTACTAAATTATTTACCTGTTAACAGTACTTGCATTCTGTTGAATCATTGTTAGGTTCTGTTGAAGAAATTATAGTGTTATTGAATCTAACTTTCTTTATTTTCTTCGTCACCTCCATTACTTTTTTTGTCTTTTTAATTGTTCTTTATTTCGTTTGTTTACGACAACGGCGTATCAACTATGAATGAAATATTAGATAAGAAATAGTGTAGGTTGCGCAAATACATTGCACGATCGACTATTAATCGTTGATTTTGCAGACCAGTCTATATTATCAGCCGCCGTCGCGTTTTTGCGATTTGTCTAGTACGTGCTCTTCTGTGCAGGTATATTTTGTTCCTAATTTTGATTGGTATCTTGTAAGTTACGTCATCTCGCAAGTCAAATAAATACAAATATGTAGGTATGTTTTTCTTTTAGATACGTTGTTTTCAAGTAGGTTAAATGTCATTCGATATAAGTGTGCGTTGTATTTAATTCACATTGCCCGGGCACTCTTATGCTATGCCCGTTTTATGCAGGAAAAATCAGAGTATTAAAATTATTATTTTTACTTTGTCTAAAATGTTCGGGCATTGTTACTTCCTATTTTCCTTGTAATATGTATAGTTTGGTGTGCATCCGGTAAACAACGGCGAGAACGTGCTATTTGTAGTTGCACGTCCCGTAGAAGGTCATTTCAATTTTCAGGAAGCAAATGAAATTCCCCTTTTCACTACACTCTACTCTGTGGTTGTTGTTTACACAATATATTAAACAGGATGATATACGGAGGGGAACCATGTGCCAATTTCGACGGTAATTTATATTGCCGACGTCGAACAATTTCGCTGTTATTCTGCCCTTGGTGTATATTGTTAATTTTAGACTATGTCTTATCTAATACTATCCACATATTAATTTAAGTTTATATTATCTTGTTATATACGTTGATTAGAGTTTCACGGAACAGGAGTTACATGTACATTTTATACTGCTAAAAGCCTAAAACAAACCATCCATGCAATAATTATATTTTTTATTTGATAACCACGAGCTATATAATAATTTAGGAATGAAACAGTGGCCTATTTAGGGATTTGTAAATACAATAAGAAAAAAACATTTGTTTTTTAGTAAGTAATATATTAAGTTATTGTCTTTAATATTCAAATTATTCATGTATATAACTAATGTATTATCGAGCAAAAACATCAGCATACTTATACAGTTATAAATTTGATTTCCTCGGATTTAGAGCTAATTTATTTAGAAAATTGTCTAGATCCATTGCCAATCGTGAACATTACCAATCCATTGAGTTTATTTTTGAGGTTGAAATTTTTTACTAAAAATTATTATCTACTAACGTTTGTTTGTAATTTTTAATCGCATGATCTAGAATTTTTGTAAACAAGATAACAGAAGGTAATTGTTTAATTTTCTTCAAAATATTTACTTTTTGTTTTACAATGATAGAAGTGCAACAAAAAAAAAGAGCTCCAAGGGGGCATATCTAGATCCCCGCACGATTATGTCATTGTTAAGTTAAGTGTTGTTTTCTCAAATAAAATACTTTGTTCGAGGCACTTAAAGTGTATTTATTTAAAACTCCACTTTAATATGAAATTTAATATTATGAAAAACGAATACCACATAACCTATAATATAGTATAATAAATTTTAATTTGATTAAAAAATAGATATTTAGGTTAAAATTACCGTAAGGAATAAACTTGATATATTTTTAAATTAAAATATATTAAACACGATTAATTTTAATTTTAATTGGGTATTCAAATTGTGCACTATAATATAATAATGTTGAACTTACTTCATTATGTCTGTAAAGAATAATGATGAAAAATGAATACAGTCTCTGGTTTACTTTTATGGACAAATTGTAAATTTAAATAAAAACCAAATCATCTTTAAAATATAAACAATTATATAGGACCATTGTGAATATTTATTAAAACAAAAAAAAAGAGATGTCGGGTGCTGTCACTGTTGCATTTGGGAAGGTAGGATACAGACGGGAATTTAGTGTACATCTGTAAGAAACGATTAACCATTGACAACGAAAACAGATTTTTAGCGGAGTTTAGTTGATAGTGTTGCTTTTTAAACAATGCGAGTATATTAATATCATATTATGGTAAATTAATTACTTATTCATTGAAAATATTTATTTAATATTGTACCTATTTTCCGGTTTTGTCAACGTCCTTTCCCTATTTGTTCTATTTTTTTTAAAATTATTATTTTAATTGTCTTATTGGTAGATAGGACAATTGGTAGATATTAATCAGCTACCAAATTTTTAAAATAGTTTTCTTTTTTATATTGTTGTTATTGAATAAATAACACGATTCAGACATGACCGACGAACAAAATAATAAATAATAAAATATTTTTATAGTATAAATAACTATTTTAAAAAACACATATAATTATATTTTAAGTCCGAATTATATATATATTCGAATTACATGATACGTTCATATTATGCGTTGAAAAAAATATAAATGTTAATTTTTTTTTTCTAACCTAACACCTGTAGTTCTTGACGTGTAGGCTTGCCGTTATACGATGTGTGAGAGCAATAACGAAAGTGAGAACAATTCGTCGGCTCACATTTCTGTTTTTGAGCAACGCGCATACATTAAAATCGAAACGATTCGTGGTAAAACAGTGCCTGAAATTCATGCCGCGTTAAATGAAGTNAGCAAAAAAAGTTCGTCGCCAGCAAACAAAGGTGAAACAAATGATGATTTTTGCTTACGATAAACTTGGGATAATTGTCACTGATCGAGTTCCAATTGGCAGTAGTGTAACCGGGGATTACTACAAAACATTCCTTGCCAAAAAATTGCGACCAGAAATCCGTAAAAAGCGACCAGGAAAGGAACAAAATGGTGTGTCCATATTGCACGATAATGCGCGGCTGCATATCGGAGCACCAGTCGTCGCTCTTTTGGAGAAATATGGATGGGAACGCCTCAAACACCCACCGTATTCGCCGGATTTAAGTCCCCCGGACTTTGATTTATTTCCAAAACTGAAGGAACCACTTAGAGGGATCCGTTTTCCCAACTTAGATATTGTATTTAGTTTAAAATAAAAACTTATTTATTCAGAGCAAATTGTGCATTACTTTTGGGACAACCCTTGTACTTAATATTATTTTTGTGTTTAATGATAAATAGTTGGAAATGCTAGGTAACGAATAAACTATTAAAATATGTTTAAAATAAAACAAATAAAACAAATTCAATAAAAGTCACATAAACTATGTACCTCAGTAGTAATAATTTTTACAGTTTAGGTTAGTTCTATTGTGCAGATTTCTTTACGTTTTTCTATAAATTTGATACTGAATTTAGGATTTTTTTTCTGTAATACTTTAACAAGTTTAGCGATTTGGTTGATAGTATATTAGGGTGCCACTTATTTTTAAAATATCTGAATTATTTTAAGTAAACGTCACATTTTTCTTCTTCGAGGTCTAAAAACTTTATGAACTTTGAAGTCTGTCAAATTATACTAAAATGTCGTGATATGAGCCCAAAGTTTTAAACTTTTTAAAAATATTATAAATATTATGAATATTTGTCAATTATTTCTTATACTATTAAAAAAGTTATTTGTATAAAATATTGTAAATAATTATTTACAGAAAAATTATATACATATTTGGTTTACAGTTATAAGATATGAACTATAAAAAAGTCGGTCGTACATTTTTCAAAATATTGAAAAAAAATCATAATTATTATGTTAAGTAAAAAATAATTTAATAGATTTAGGTAATTTTATTACATGATGTTGATGTAAGATTACTAATCAGTTTTTCTTCTTTTATTTTTGATTCGTTTTTCTCTCATATTTGTTTACTTTTCTTTGGCATCATAATTTGTATATATAAATCATTAAAATTTTCTTTTTTAACCAACTCAGGTGTGGAAGTTGAAACTGTGGAAACTGGATCCAAAAGAGACAATTTTTAATTTATAAATCACACATTTTCTTATAATTTGAGTGAAATATACACATTCAAGATAATTTACTAAACCTAGAAATGTTCACTATATTTATTTTGTAACTATATCAAAAATATCTTGTATAAAATGTACGTGACAAAATGAAAGTATTAGCACGAATAAACGGAATTAAATAATTAATAAGGAAAACTCAGTCTGCTGTAGAACAAACGAATAAAGGCTTTAAATTGACGACGCATAAGGCTAGTATTAATTTATAATCTAATAATAAAGGCGAAGGATTGCCCGCAAGTGTCTTATACGCAGGTGATACAATTTTCAGTAAAAAAAAAAAAAAATGCTATAATATAATAATATCTTTTTGACGCCGAACTTTTAAACTGTATTATGAAGTGAAAAATATATAAATAAAATACATTTTCAAAAAAATACGACTTTTATGGCGATATTATAATATTCAGGTGGATATAAGTTTTTTTACTTATCGGAACAGAGGATCAGCGAAGCACTTTTAACAAAAATGAATCAATAAATCCTACTTTGTTTGTTTGTTTGCTTTTTTTTATTTATAATATTATTAAGAGTTATTTTACTAACCAAAAACATGAATATTAATAATTTAATACCATCATCGTTTCCCTATTATTATATTATATGATAATATATCTTCTGAAACATAAAACATTTACACTTATAAAGGTGCAGCATTCTTATTTTTTTTTCGATATTACTCTTTTATCGGGTACGATATATTATAATTATAGAGTTGTACTATTTTTTTGGGCCATTAATTAATTAATCGTTAACTTTTTTTTCATTGTAGATTATTAATAATTTATTAAATTATATTAAATACCTGTATAATATGTTATCACTTAGTCACTACTATATGAATAACGATAATTTATTAATTTTTTTAACTACCTACCTATTTAAAAAAAAAAACCTAAATCGAATGAAAATTTCGATTCGAATTTAATGCATAAAAAGGCATATACAGCTTTAAAAAAACCGTTCACAAAGCAATTAAAATGTCTTCAAAAATACATTTAAATCGTAAATGAAAATAAGCGTGAAGTGTTGAAGTGGTAAAAAGATCTAGAAAAGACATAACTCGCATAATGCGTGGACTACTATTGTAGGTGATACGTTGGGAAGGTAAAGGGGAAATTTAATGTATATCTACACGCAAGAATTAATCATTGGTAATAAAAAAAAGATTATGAATGAATTCGGTTAATATTGTTGCTTTGTTAACAATATATATGTCATATTATAATAAAATAATTACATATACATTGTCTTTACATACATTGTATATACATTTTCTTTAATAATATTTGTTTAATATTGTATCTATTTTACCGTTTTTTCCAAATGTTTACCATGTTTTTCCCATTTTTTGGGAAAACTTCAGGGAAAATCAAAAAATGACCTTCCCAAAGTTCTACTTCAGGAAAATTCTCTTTCAGAAAAATTACTATACTTGATACTTTGGAGCAATATTTCTGGTAGAATTTTAAAAAAAATACATTCTTCGCTATACTTAGAATTTAAATTAAAATTTAAAATTATAAAATCATTATTTACGTGAATTTCCCCGTTTTTTCGGCTTGAAATAAAATCTCGTATATTATATTGATGATTTTGCATCATCGGAATTATTGCTACTTTTCGATATTTTAATTTTAGGTTTTCGGATAATTGAGTTTTATCAAAATCCTAAATTCCGCAATCTTTGAGTTACTCTATGTAACGCGTTTAACATGGGTCAGGTTTATAATTTGATATTGGTTTTCGTATTGTAATAATTGTATTGATCTATATAATATTACAACTTCGGACGTTATTGACACTCAAATATTTAACTGATGGGTATCGAATCGGTTACTGTATTCGTTTTGTTTGCAATTTAACAGTTTTTGTTAAAATAGAGAAAAAATAAGTATAATATATTAAGAGGATGCCGTACCCACATGTACTGTAAAATTATTTTGTTTATTAAAACATACATTGTGATATTTAGATTTAAATTTAAATTAAATTATGAATGGAAAAGTTTAACAAGGAATATATTTTCAAGGGTTTACGAGGTAAATTTTTTTTTTCCAAAATATGTTCATACGGAAAACAGTGGCAATATTTAAAATAGTAAAACTAACATGACTGTAACATGTTTGTATGGCATTTTTTTTTAGAGTAAGCTATGTAATAAGGTCTTCGAAAATATTCACTTCTTTAAATTTTGTTTTTTGTGTTTAAACTCCAATGCCAACTTAATTACCATTGCAATTTATGTAATTTTACTATGTTATCCATTATTCTTGTCTTTTTGTTGTCTTGTTCGTCCGTTAGTATTTTGAAAACTTTAAATAGACTGATTCATTAGATGTGGGTATAGCATTCTCTTAAATAAATTTAAATATATAATACAAAATAGTTTTGAAGAGACCGTAAATTCCTTAACACACGTTAATAATACATTCAATAAATATACTACATTTTTCGAAAAATTAAAAATTTAGGTTGAGGCAGAGAAAAGGAAAATTTCGAATTAGTTCATTAAAGTAAAACAAAACGAACTTTCATATGTTATTGGTGAAAATGAAATTTAAATTACATGTTATTAAGCTTCTTGAGAGAAAAAATTAAATTTCTAACTGTACTTCAACATTTCCCGTTTCTCTGGTCCACCTTGTACTTTTATTACTTAGGTAGTAGGTTAAAAAATTATCACTTTTTAATGAATTATATAGGTATGAAGTTTTTTTTTTTAATACAAGTTTTGAAAATTATTGACATTCTATGATAAGTATGTTCGAAAAGATCTTTTGTTCGGAAAAGTATATGCAAACTTAATCCCACTTTTCTCAGCGGCGTGCCGTCATTGTCACGAAAGCGTCTCCGGAACGCCTCTTTGGGAATTGGAGTTCACGCTTTGAATTTTTAATATTAATATCTTCGCGTGAATCAACTCAAATCTGTCGGTCCCTCTCTATATTGTAAACGACTGAAAATCAAAATAACGTCTACTTGAGAGAGAGTAAGGACTATAAATGGTTCAATATAATAACATTTTTTTTTTTTTTTCGAAAGCGTTTAAAATTCAGATTTTGTCGAAACTCGTTAAGTTTATTATTATATCAATGGTTATTATTATCAATCAATCTTACTTCATGTAGCAATTTTGTAAAATAGATTTTTAGAAAATGTTTGATGGTTGAAACTTTTTTAAAGTATAATCTTTTATTTTTTTACGATTTTGTAAAAATTTGAATAATTTTCTTTTAAATCATAACAATATTGTTTATCAACATAGATGACCATTATTGATTTATTTTACCGATACTCATCACTTATAATATGATAGTATTATTGTATAATATAAATTCATGGAAATGAAAATACTGATTTAATATTATCATAGAATAACCACATTAGGTGATATCAAAATTTGCTAAAACTTAGAAATCGTAGAAAATAAAATACCATGTTTGAAAAAAAGTTTCAATCACCAAAAATGTATTTTACAAAATCGTTATTTTGAATTTTTTTAAAAAAAATTATAGTTAAATATCAAATTTTTCATTTTAAATCCCCCTCCCTAAAAAAAAAAAATAATCATATATAATCTGTAGCGCAGAGGTATACTAATTGTTTAAAAAAAAAAATATACCAAAAATATTAAATATAACAAAAGTTATTTCAAGTGACAGATTATCGTGGGACACTATGTTTATATTTACAATTTTAAAACTGTATTTATTATATTGTCCAATAAACCAACAAAATAAACACTTGTCACAATAATTATAAAAATAATACAGTTGTATTATATTTAAAATAGTTGTTCATTTTCGTCTATAGTTTTAAACTTTTTTAAATTACTTTGTCTAAAAAAAAGTAATTATATTATAAGTGTATATTATATATTCTGGTGCTTAATGAAAATTATTGTCGATTAACTTGATGTTACCGAGGGGGAAAAAATACAGATCTTTTTGTTCGAGGTTTTTAATTTATTTTTATTACTTACCTTCAAAAGATTAAATAAAAAAAAATGCGCGTAAAAATTAACGAACCAAACTGCTGTTATTAAAAGTTATACCGAACGTCAATA